ATACCCAAGCAGGGTTTGGGTTTTGCATCGTACCTACATCTCTAATTTAGCCGGCGCCCCAGATCCTACACCAGAAGCTTTGTGTCAAACAAATGCAAGGGCACCCACTGAAGCGACAGCCCTCAGCTGAGACTAGAGCCACTAAGATGAGGGCAAGTGTCCAAAGCACCGCAGATTGTATTATAAAATTCTTAGCTACTGCTTGACCCAAAGCAAGCACACGTAAAGGCCTTGGGGCGCTATTCGAGAACTCTCTATTATCGGAAGTACTCTTATCAGTACAATTATGCAACTGCTCTTTTGTGAATACCCTTCCATAGATTCGTTCTGAGCAGGAAATGTACAAAGAGAGGATGGAAACTGATATGCACAAATGACAGGCCGAATTAGTTGTAGCAGCGATAAAACTAGGCTGAGAGCAATGGGATTTCAAATTTACTGTCAGTGCCTGTCGTATCCTAATTGTTCCATAATTTTCTCAGCAAGATAGGTCACTTGGCTCAGATACTTGGAACCGCTACTGGCGATCTTCACACTGGCGCGAAAAAAACGAACGGCAATGCGCTTAATTATGAGCACCCTTGATCAACAGCACAGCTAGGTCGATAACGGCAAATTGGGCACACGTATATGACGAATGCCCAACACAACTATGGATACGTTTGGTTCCAGAACGAAGGGCGCCTACAGCTAGCAGGCCCGCATACTTTCCATCCGTACGCAGCGTGTGGTTGCGCTACAGCTATTTCAACATACGGACGGACGTCTGACAGTCGTCCTAGACAGCTCATTAACCGAAGGTCTGTGCGGGCGCAATTCCATTGCATCGCAAGCGTGCGTACCTTTTCGCCGAAGCCTGCGCAGTCAGGCACTCTACGCGCACGGCCAGGCCGAGATGACCAACATCAACGCCCACTGCAGAATTACTCACATACTTGGGGCCTGGCTTCATTCCGAAGATACTTCCATACACGGACAACATATCATCTACGGAAGGTTGAAGCAATGAGCTCTCGCGAACACGAACGCGTCAGAGCGGAGCTGAATACCGTTAAAACTTTTAAATTCAGATGACAGCTGCCTCCTGTAAAGGTGCTGTTTGGGAACTTTGTCTGGCTGGTTTCAGCAGGCCCAGGCGACAGCTGATTCATTACAGCGACCCGAAACAGTTGCAGGACGCATTATTCCAAGTAATTTTCATGGGCAACATAGCAGGGCATGAAGTACTGAATTACGAACGAGGAATACAGCAAAGAATAACCACTATGGCAAGCAGTACTCAACGAAGCTCTACTGACCTTCGTGTAAAGCTCCTGTGTCGACATGTCTTCTTCTTTGAGGCTAAAAAGCCGACCTTCGGGGAACTAGCATTCTGGTCTGGTGTGTCGTGCTTTTCTTAAGAGCTATATACACAGAGTATGCGCAACAGCACAAGACATCGCCGACATTACATTAGCCCGTACAGTTGCCGGACAACCAGCAGAAGCTGCAGCACTTTGGGACACACTCGCTTGTTCTCTCGCTTTACCCTCCTTTCCTATTTGCTAGCAGCCGCTCCATTTATGTTTCGTGAATTTTTTTGTGCCTTCGATGAGCAAGAACAGAGATGTATGTCTTTATAAACTTTCCAAAAACCCCTATTACTTGTAACACCTCTAAAATCAATAGTTAACGTCAATCAATTCGCAATTCTATTGCTTCATCTTCAGTTTTGGTTTCGGTTGCAATTTAGTGCTGCAACGGGAAATGAACTTGTGTATGAATCGTCGCAATTTCGTGCAAACTATCCGTTCTTTTCACTCGTAACATTAGCGCACTTGCTCCAAGGACAGTTGGTTTTCGCAACAGTGACTAAAGACACACGATGCATGTGAACGAACCATCGTGTCCGCATGCACAGATGAACTCACCGTCTTCCAAGATGTGATCTGATAATTCGACAATCGTATTCTCCGCCTTTGGTCATCGCCAGCCTCAGCCCCGTAGTTGCACGTAATTATTTCGTCAGAGTAATGGAAGTTGCGAAGGCAGGCATTACCCATCTGGGTTTCGCCTGACATCCCTTCCTCTTGCGGCTGCTCGAAATTCGCGCGCAAAAACAAACACGATTTACGACAGTAGATATTGACTAGTTTTAAAAAGCATTAACGTACCCTGAAATACCACGACTACGAGAAGATTGTGCAACGTACCTGGCGGCACACGGTCGCGGCGAATTCATCTGATGCCTAGGTTCCAAATGCGTTCAGCATTGTATTGGCACTATCTAAAGTAATTAATTTAGAGATACACAGTGTCTATAAGGTGGGGGCATCCATAAGGGATTTCTTCTTCGTCTTTGTCCGACACCTCACATCTGACGGCTGAACTTCAATGTCTACCTTTCGACTGAATTCTTTGCATACACAGACACAGAAGAAATGATCGCCAATTTGCACTAGGTGCAAAGCTCCACGGCTTGCTTATGGCCACGTTATTTGGCAGAGCCATCGTTCAAACCACGGAGGAAAGAAGAGGGACTCAAACGATTGATTTGACCCACTGGCTGATATTATTAGGGAGTTTTAGCTTGTACCTATACTTCTTTACGTTAACGTGTTACCGGATACCATTTCGCGTTTACCGTCTTACCGGAACGGAAATCTTTCAACGTGTTAGCTCCTCATACGTAAATTTTCACGTACGTACGTAAACGCGTATACCTTTACGTTTTCGCAAACCATGAATGGTGATGCTAACTGCATATAAACTGCATTCACCTTACATATGATTAAATCACCATTGTGGTGAAATCACGAGACGTTCTTTTATTGCGTACAGCATCCTCATATGCGCGAAAAAGTGAAAAATACAAGGCTAATGCAACGATGGTGTCGACATCTTGTGACACTTCGTGCAACCACATTCATAAACACGTTCTTACGCGTAATGTTTTTGAGGTGAAAATGATTAAAAAGGTAACTCATTTGTAATAACGGCGCTGCGCGTTTTTTGCATCAGACGTACGATGCTCAATGTTTCTGCAATAACAATTTTGTGATTACCTGGTTCACTATCGCCCCGCTAGATGGCACCACCTATCCAGCTTCTCTGGAATTCGCACGTTTACGGCATTTATGTTCTAGACCATTCTAGCTTTGGTAATCCGGCTGAAACAATGTAATGGCCATTGGCGCTCGCACTTCAGCTACTTCTGCTTATAGCAACTCGACGGGTCGAGTCCCCGCAATGCGCATACCACGAGTTTCTACGAACGAAGGCGTATTTGCGAGATAAGGTTGTAAACGTAAAGTCTATATGGCAGGAAACGTAAACTTTTAAACCAGATCCGGAGGGAAACGTAAAGGTTTACGTTCCGTAAAGACCCGCGCATGCGCAGATTCTATCCGGTATCCGGTAACACGGTAACGTAAAGAAGTGTACGTACAAGCTAAAACTCCTTGAAACGAAACCCGAACACCACGGTGTTGTGGTAGTTATGGTGATGATGATAGCCTCAATTCTCCTCGGGCCGTTTCAACCATGACCTACTACACTCCTGACCTGTTCAGATAGCGGGGTTCCTATGGGAGCGCGTGTCCCCGCTCTCGTTCAATCGCTCGCCGTAGGTGGCGCTACCTATAACCTGTTCGTCTGCTACTGTGCGGCCGGCAGGAGGGCGACGGACTGATACCATGCGTCTGCTTCTGTGACAAACTGCCTATACGTGTGATTGTTTTTTGCTGAAAAGGCTAACGTGTGCTATGTGTTACATTTTAGTAGTTAGGCTATACTGGTTGATTGACTTCTAAAGCTGTATATTTGCGTAGAAATGTCTTGCTGCATGGTTGTTTTTGCCATTCCAGCCTAAAAAAACTTCAATTTAGTATTCATAAAGCTTTTGACTAATAATGTACTCATTGGTAATAGAATATCAAACTGATTTTAGGTTGTTTAGGACGCGTCAGGTGAAACGCAGTGCCCCTGTTGAGCACTTACCTTGGACACTCGCCCTGGACAGGTGTTACACTTGTAGTCAATTGATAGAAGAGAATAATGCACATACGCCCACGGACGCATATCAAGGAGAGACACAGGAATTGAAGCTTTAACTCTTACTGTGACCTACACAACAAAAATTGTGCGTCAAATTTCGCTACGGGAGTTTGTCTGCTGGAACGGGGAGCGCTGGCCGATGCGCGTTTCTATGATTTTATATGTCCGTGCGATGAGACGATATGGTAAAGGCAGTGATGTGCCTATCGAGGGCAACACATTGCGACCCCAATAAAGTTTTTATCGTCATCATTATCATCATCTTGTCGAGCATAGTTAATAATAATAATAATCCATTCTTCCCGTATGTCTGTGGCAGGAAACTCGTGAAAACTTACTTTACTTTGTTTGCCTTGTTCCGATTTGCAATATGGCACGCAGCAATACACCATACTTACATTTGAGGTGTCAGCTCATCTAAAAAAAAAAAACTGCACGCGGCCACTATTAGAGCTGACTACTGCAGCTATCTGCCGTCTGCAAGTTTCTGCACACGACCTACTGTGTTTCTGCGTATCTTCTGCAATTTGTGTATGCGTATCGTCTGGAACCATCGTGATTCAGTGTGAACAATGAATGCCTAACAATAGTTTTTTTATCTCGTTGGACTACGTTTTCATTCAAGAAATATTTTCATAATAAATTTTCCTTCATTTGTAGAAAAGTTCCCGTCTGCTTGCCACTGTGACCCTTTGTGTGCTTTTTTTACGGTTCTATTTCTGCTTCAAACGTCCACACGAATGCAGCCAACTCTGACGAGGAATCATATCGCTTTATTTGCCATATTTTACACATTCATACACAATTCATGCACAATAAGAACGATTTGCACTGCCACAGCGATGGCTGAAGCAGACGACAGCGAACAGGTGCTGCCTAGCGCCACGCCGCTCGTAGGTGACGGCCCTAGCGGCAGAAGGTATGAACTAGAACGTGGGCGCTGGAAGAGGTGCTCTCTGGGCAGGTCAGGAGTGTAGTAGGTCATGGTTTCAACACGCATTTCGCCTTGCCCTTCGTCCCTTCGCCGGCTTTCGCTTTTTGCAGTGTGTTTCATCGCTTCATGCCACGCATACTGCAGTATAAAAGTGTGCATCCCCAGAATCGCCCGCCTGAGTAGCCTGAAAGATAAAGGAAGCACGCCAAACTAGTCGCTGCCAGGAAGTATGGTCGTCAAGTAAGCAGTTTTGATTCGTCTCTCAGCTGTCCTTCATCAATATTACAGAGCAAACCTAATGTACAAAGTTGGTTCTGTGGCATTTCAACGTTTAGAATGTAAGTCACATTCCCGGCCACTCTATTTTATGCTCCCTCGCGGCAGCACTTTCGATTCTTCCCGAAACCTACGTGTAACGCTTTTAGTTACTCTTGAAGGAATAAAACTGAAACTTGATCTGTCGGTAAAGCGTGTTGTGTTGCTGAATGATGTTATAGAAGTACTCGTCTTTGTTACTCGCTGTCTGTGGACTCGTAACAGAAAAGCCCGTATGGCGTACCGTTCAGTACCTTCGAATCCGCGTGATGACATCGTAAACGTTGTACACTTGTGTACGCTACCGAGATATATCTGTAGCACATTTTTTTTTTCTTACTTTCTTGCAGGGGTGTCCTGAAGTTGAGCATTCTCGGCGGAGCGATATACGCGACGCAAAAAGCCGGTATATGGGGCGATAGTACGCAGACTACCGAAAACATCAAAGCCTACATCACCACCAACCCCACCTTGAAGTACTACTGCACGTTGGCAAGTTGTGCTTCGTGAATGCGTTATCCATGCATGCACCTTACCTCAAGGCGTTAAGACGTGCGTTGGAGTTTCCAACAAATTAGTTACCTAGTAGGGAACATTGATGATCAAATTACAATACCTGAGACATGATGGTAACTGAGCTGGGATACCTGACACACAATTACTTCTTACAAGCTAAGTTGCGCCATATTTATTTTTAATTTCTGGTTGTGGCCCAGGCACCAAGCAGAAAAGAACTTGGCATGAAAGCAGTGGACTACTGGAATGATGGTAAGTGTGGATGTGCTTTCCTCTTTGCAAACATTTTTTAAGGCATATCTACTTCTCATATTCCACTGTGTTGCGAGTCTACACGGAAAAAACACCTTGACTAACTAGTCCTATTCATATTTAATTGCACTCGCGGATTCATTTCTGCATTGCATAACATTCAGTGTAGTTATCCTGTTAAAGAGACTGCAGCCCACTGAATTATCTTAAAGCACGTGCCAAAAGTTGTACCTCAGAAGTAATTTGTCAAAAATAATTAAAGCTCTTGGATTGTGCAACATTGTACTACCACTGGCTGACATTGCATGACCTTGTGTCGTATAACAAGATAGCTGTGGAAGCTCAGCAACATGGTAGAAGCCTCAATTTTGTAGTCGCCTCAATTGACACGGTAAACATAAGCTGGGTGTTAAAAGATTCAAGTATGTGAAGAGAAAAGATTAGAGTATGTGAAGAGCCTTCAAGTTTGAGACATTTCATAGGAAGGGGCGGTCATTGAGTACGATGCCATCTTTAAGGAGGAAAGATCCTGTTTGCAGCCCATTTCACAATGAAAACCGCTGTGCTTTTGCGAGATCACAACAGCCGTTTTCGGGGCCGCAGTTGTCCACCACCACCGGTGTTTGTAACTACTATAGCGTGAAACGATAAAAGAGCAAAATGTGGGTAAAAAAACATTCAAGAGACAAAGATTTTTGAACCTAGACCCCTTGCATAGCAGTGGAGTATTCGACCACGAGCCAGGCTAATGCGTGATACTGTGTCCCAAACAGACCATATGAAGACTTCATGTCGGTGAAATAATTTTTCTAACATGTGTAATATAGTATTTTAGAAAAGTAAACATACAACCAGGCGTCACACAATAAGAATTGCACAACAAGAAGGCCGTTGAATGCTTCCAACCTATTGCAAAAGCTTTGGCCATAATTCATCAGCCACAGCATCAACAGAGTGCGCATAATGCCTTACAGGTATGTAGGGAGTACAACACTACTTGGAAGAATAATGGCTCAATAGGTGCTTCCCTACATTACAAAAAATATTATTCATGGTGTAGTCATTCCAAGTTGTTTCTTTTAAGGTTTAAGGATGTTATTAAATCCAAAGTGACAGGACACTGGGAAGTATTCCTCCTAGGTGGAAATCATTCCTTCTTGTAGATAGCGAATTCTACACAACGTTGCAGTACTAGAGTTCTGATAAAGGAGGTTGCCCCCACAGGATGGCAATGAAAGTTCAAGTATATTCTAGGTTACAGGGTACAGGACAACTTAAGACAAGTCCCAGGAATTTCTATGTCCATGATAAAAACCCTAGACAGACAGTAGTGTATTTGCACGATTGTAACTTCTCATTTTTATTTCTTTCTAAATGTAGCCCTAGAATTTCTGTGCACATTACCACTGGACCCAAAAGTGAAATCGGCGTCAAGTTTTGTCTTTCTCAGATTTTTCTAATTTAAAATTACCTGCACATTAGAATTGGAGGCACACCATAATCATGCAAATGTGATGCATTTACTCCCAACCTCAAAGAGTTGGCTCCTTCATGTGTTTACAGTTGTTCTCCCCTCACCTTCCCATACCTCTGTAATTGCCGTGTTGAGGCCACTGGCAAGCACAAAGCACTCATTCATCACCAAGCTGGTGGATGGACAAGCCCATCAGCTCGAAGTGCATAGCAAGTTCTGGGTACCTTGGAGCCAGTCCTTGCAAGCCTTCTTTGACATCATGGATTGTAATCTACTTCGTGTAAGACAGTCGAAGTCGTCCTGTTCGAACCCTGCGACAGTTCAGTTTTATAACCTCCTGGGCTTGATTGGTACATATTGCTATGCATTCAAGCACATTATTTTCCCTCTCTTTTCTTCTCTATTCTTTCCCCCTTCTCCTTGGTAAGGTAGCAAACTGGGTGCAACCAGATTAATCTCCCTGCCTTTCCTTTGCTTTTCTCTCTCTGCCTATTTTGTAACTTTCAGATGGAGTTAAAATGTTTGAGAGGTGCAGAACGATGCCCTTCCTTCCTTCCCTGTCCTGCAGGTGTCAAGGCCACATTCAAGCACCTCCTGAACACGCCAGAATATACGAAGCAAGCTGCTTCGTGGTGTGTGAATGCCGTGTCCGAGATGATGGAGGAGCCGAAGACGCCACCCGCCGACACCAAGAAGCCATCAAAGTAACTTTCGTAGAGCCTAGGTGATCAGCTGTATTAAATTGATAGCAGTGTGCACAAATAAAGCCGTAAAGCTGTTCTATTCCTGTTTCATTCCTGTTGCACCTTTATTGCAAGAGCACATAGAGCATAACACAATCAGAGCGTGGCGAGGGCAGCTTGAATCGTTCACAAGCGCATGACAAGTGCGTGTACCTGCTTTTAAAGTATTCGTTTAGACAATACAGCTTTTACATGCATATCAGCCTCGATCATGCGGCATATTTTTTTTTGAGTGCCACCATTTATTTCAAATTTGACCCTGCTACATAAACTTGCATGTACATTCTGCACAAAACATAAGCAGCAATTGTGATATTAAAAAGCAACAAAAAAATGAAAGTTACTGTGACTGGTTTTAAAATTTATCTATGCAAACCTGCACACTAAAGACACTTAGGCATGCTTCACTACAATGCCTATCACACAAGCCATGGAGCTTTAGCACCATGACACACCAGCAAACTCTTCTGAAGCTGTTGCAAAGTTTTCAAGTTCAGCATCAAGTCTCACTAAGAATTGACTCTGTTTGCAGAGAGTCTTTAAATGATAGGCTGAATGAGCAAAAGCAAAGAAAGAAAAAACGTGGCTGATCCATCTATTTAGAAATCAGTATAGCACGAAAGTGAGACGTGTCCTCCCATAGATAGTTGAGCGTTCATTGTGCATTGTTTCGCCACAAGGGCAAAGGAATTAATGCTACAGCAACAAATTGCTTTGTCATGCAAAGAACGGCAAGCAGCTCAAAACTTCCAGCGCACACCTCAAGCACAAACCATGCACAAAATGAGCATGCACAGGACGTGCACGGACAAACTGTCACAGCTTGACACTATGCTGCTCAAACAGAAAGAAAGATGCGCGAAATGAACGCACAGGTATACACAGGACGAGCGTGAACAACTGTCACAATTCTTACTTGGTGTGCAAACAGTGCGCTAATCTCGTAAACACGGTGAGAGAAAAGACATTTGTGCTCACTTTAACTACTGTAACTTCAAATATAATTTGCGGTGGAAGCACAAGAGGTACAAAGCACCCAAATCCCGAGATAAGCATGCGCGCGAGTGGGCCACCATGCAAAAAAACATCAATACGTATTATGACCACGCCACGTGGTGGCACGCATGCATAGCGATACGTGGGATGGCGCCCACGAGGACCCTCAGAGCGCGCGCGCCTGCCGTGCCATTTCGCTACCGATGATGAAAATGTTCTGTAGTTGCTCAACTTTGAGGATTGCCAGCGGTACATGGTGTATATAAATGGCTAGCCGTTGACAAGTTGGAGAAAGGTCATTCTGTGGCTTAGTAGGTTAGCGTCGCGCGCTGAGGAGCGCGAGGCTGCTGGTTCGACGTCCTGCTGCAGAACTTTTCCTTCCCATTTTTTCTTTGCAATGTGTTAGTATATATTTTACGTCAAATCTGTGACCGAAATATGTCAGCAGAGTCATGGCAAACCCTAGCATAAAGCACTTTTGAGTTAAAAATGTAAAAAAAAAAGCCAGGAGACTGGAGGAGATGGAATCTTGTGATAAAAAATTCGTGACAGGCTGCCTACTAGACCAACAAGGCAAGGCTGCAACAGGCAGACTTGCCTGTTGGCTCCAGTGCACAACCCCGTCAATGAATATTACACAATGTGCCTACTGTGCTTACTATTGTTATCACATGAGCAAATTAAAAGGCATTTAATCTGAGGATTATATGCCACAAATAATGAATGAAGAACAGTGTGTGCATCAAGATATGAAGCAAGACCTTGTTTGCGATTTATAATGACGAATCTGCCTAATGATACTCCACTGCAACATGGGCATGTATTACAGTGAAGCCAAGTAGTACTTGCGCCTAACATTTTTTTATACTAAATTACCAGCATAATGAACTTCCAAGTGTATTCCTTCCAGATGCTATACATCCAGAGTTCTATTATGCACCATTTCCAAAATTGAGATTTCACCAGTTCCATGTCGATCCGCCTTAGAAAGTATAGGTCAGGTTTGAAACCTCTTTTTTTTTTTTTTCATTACTCCAATAACACGCTACTTACGATTTCAAGAAAAAATGATTCCGGTGGTTTCCAGTGCCTAAACAACATACTCATCTTCAAAGGTTCCAGGGCTTTCAAGGGTTCCAGGGATCTACAGACACCCCGAATCGCAGTACCTACTACAGAGTCCGTGGGTGGCGATTGCCGATTTTCCCAGGGTTAAAGAAGAAGACATACACATTGAAGAAAGCTAATGGCCGACCAACAGCTGTCGAAGCAGTTCTAAAGGGAAAAGACTACATGAAGATGAAGGTTTAGGTCCTGCCTGCACAAAGACATTTCATCCACATTTTAATGAAAACATTAATATCCCTATGCTATTTCCGCCTTTATTGTGTATATTCATTTCTCATATAACAAAAAAAAAAATCCAACCCAGCAGCTGCATTAGTTGCCCTTGCTCAGTATGGGTACCCACACGCTGTGCTTATTTGGTCAGTTTGCCCAAACTTTTCTTAAAGGCACTTATTGGAAGAACACAAGGCGTGCATTTATGTACAATTCTTGTGCTTAAAACACAGAACAGAAATCAGATGCAGAATGCAGCAATGGGTTACCACAAGTAGTTTTTAATTGAATATGCAACTGTCACGAGTGACTACAATAATATTTACAACATACTATGTTTATTTATCTGGTACACATTCCTGGCACAGTCTTGAGAAAATGCACACTCGTGCTACCTACTTTAGGAACAGCTCACCACATAAGGCGGGGAGGGCAAAAATTAAAAAGTGATAAAAAGCATGCTTTTGCTGTTATCACGCTATATAAAAATGCGTGCACAGTGACTGCATCATGTCATATTGTACATTAGTCGTGATGCCTCGTGCAAATGAATCTAGAAGCTGCTCATGTGTCGTACAAAAAGGCTTTCAAAAATATATAAAACATCTAGCACCAAAGTGCAGCGTGGCAAAAATAGCTTACAAACACTTGAATAAAAAAAGTTGCTTGTAACATAATAAACGTCTCGTCTACTGAGGTCCACTCATTTCTTGTGTCGCATGATTGAGCGATTCCATGGCTGTCCTGGGAATTTCGCTTGGCCTGGTGCTAGCTTCAGGAGCATGACTTGATGCATCCTTGCTTTCTTGGTCCGAAAAGGTCCCATCACTTCTTTCCTGCAAAAGGCAACACACGATAAGTCCGGCATCATGCAAAAAGCAAATATGGCACGATCTTATAGACAATCAGTAATTAATGATTCAGCTTTACTCTAAGTTCTTTCGCTAAGAAGAAACACTACAATGCATTACAAGAGCTGTAATGTGCAATTTCGTGACTATTAAGGAGCTAGTTTGGTCGTATGACGCATTTTTGTTCTAGCACAAACATAACATTGGTGAATGGCATTCAGTAGCCGCACAGAAGAAGTGAGCTTTCTAGGTCATGAAAACGAGCATTGTAGTCACCTGGCCAGTATTGCATTAGTTGTGTTTGCAGTCCCTTTCAGCTGAGATTTGAGCTCGAAAAGCCACCACACAGATAAATCACTTGACAGAGACGAGCTGATATAAAAAAAAAAATTCTGGGATTTTACTTGACAAAAGAATATGATTACGAGCATGTCATAGTGAGGGACTACGCATTAATTTTGGACTGTATGAACTTTCTTAGCAGTCATGCACATATAATTACATGAGTGTTCTTGCATCGCACCCACACTGAAATGCACCTGTGGCGATTAGAAATGGAACATGCGTCTCCGAGCTTTGCAACATAACGCATTTGCCACTAAGGTACTATGAAAGGTACAGACAAGACGAAAGGTAGTGAAAGCCTTGCAGCAGGTATTCAGTGAGCACAGTGCAAAGGGCAGTGTACTAGGTTCAGTCACCCTTACCACCCTCTTCTACATTTCACTCCCTCCCTTGTGACACTGCACCATGTTCTTTCGTCGGTAGCAGAAATAATTGTCTTTCCTGACTTCAAACCATTACCTTCACAATGTGAAAGAACATAAAGTTAATAGAATACTTTGCTGGGTGAGTTAGCTCGTCTCAGTACAAAATTGGAGCTCAATAAGATACCACTCACTACCAACCGGTTTATTAGAAAAAACCAAGAAAATTATGCACTCAATGTGACACAGGTGTACCTGTGCACACATCAAAAGGCGATTCTGATCAAAAGATCTGCTACAGATTATGGCAAAGCAGCTCGAATTCGCCCCCACAAACACACCGACGTTTGGGTGATACCATCCGCACCCTTCTTTTTCGCGTGACAACTGTGCGACTATTTTCCTGCTCCTTTATAGCACTCCAAATTTAGAAAACGAAGGCACACAGTCACACACCTCGCAGTGAACAGAAAGATGTGTGCTGGTCATAAGAGAAAGCCTGGCCACAGCTGGCTTTAGTAGCTTACTCACCTGAGAGTCTTGGCTTACTGCGGTGTCCTCGCATTCCATGGGGGTTGAAGGAGGCTGTTGTTGCTGCTGCTGGGTGGGTGCTATGGTTGCCCCACTACTCGCTTGTTGCTGAGTGTCCTCTGTGGGAGATTCTTGGCTGGTGGCAGGAGGAGGACCACTGCCGCCACTGCCCCTTTCTTCACCATCATTGTCCTCTTCTTCCTTGGGCACTGCCGAAGCTTCTGTTTGGTGCTGCCCCCCCGAGGGGGCACAGGGGGGAGACGACGACAATGTGTCCATGGGTTCGGGCAAGCTGTTACCCTCTTTGGAGACATCTCCATTGTCTTCAGGCGAGCCTGTCACGCCACCATCGGTTCCCTCTTCGCCTTCCTTAGGTTTGCTGTCGCCATTGCCACGCTGCTCCTCCTTGGCTGCATTGTCCTTTTTCAGCTGCTCCAGAGCACGCTCCACCATCTTCTGGTACGTCTCCGTGTCGACAGTCTTTCCACAAAGCTGCATGTACAGAAACAGCAATGTTTCTCTTCTACTTGTTTATATGCGTGCGTGAAGGGGTGTGCACCATATTTACTTTCTCGTGTACTTAAGTACAAAAAAAAAACATGGCTAATATGTTT